ATTCAAAATGTTCATAGCGTTAAGGTTTATGTTCCTACACAGACAACTTTCTGAAACAGAGCTAGACTGTCTTACTGTTTGCTTGGGATGAGAGAATGAACTGGAAAATTTCATCAGATGGTGAAATATTGAGGTCAGAAGAATATAGCTTTGTGCAGTGGTTCATAAAACAGTTAGAAATTGGTTATTTAATCTGGCAGCCATATTGCAGTGCATTTTAAAACAGTTACTAGTATGATTGCCAGATGGCCCACCCAAAGTCTCTGGCATTACAGTTACCCCCTTTTCTGACTTTCATTCTCATGGATATAACTCTGTATGCTTTTTTTTCTTATTTTCATCATTATACAATACATAACTTTAGTACACTTACAACCAAATGTAAAGATAGTTCTGTTACAATTAATCTTGAAATTGTTATCTTGAGAAAGGAGATTTCCAAGATTTAGCTCTAAGGAGCAGCTAACATTAGTCTGCTGCAGCAAAAGCAACATGGAGTCTTCTGATTCCTTCAAGGCGGACAATCTTTACTATGGCATAAGCCTGCATGGTCTGATATTTGCTGGAGTCCCCCACCTTACAAAAAAAGGTTTACACCGTAATATAAGTCTTTAAGATACACAAGATTCCTTATTATTGTATAGCAGCTCAATGTTCATGCTGCTATGCAACAATCCTACAGCAATTTTCTTTCCAGGAGAAGCCAAGAGTTCCTGGAAATTGCAGTCCGAGAACACTTGGGTTACCCAAGGTTGGGAACCACTGAAATGGGTAAACCAGTTATCATTCTGCACATCACCACTTCTTGCCTCTCCACATCTGGGCCAGAAGTCTGGTCTACCAAGTTTATAATAGATTTTTCCTCCAAAAAGGAAGGCCGGCTCTACCGAACCCCAAGTAGACGTTACCTCTGCTGCCTCAACAAGGTTCCGTATATTGACCACCTATTCACTGTTATCCCTAGAAAATCTGTTGGGCCACCAGACCAATCAAGCCTACTAAGGGGTGCTTTTTGCCAGGGGTGGCTAGGGAAGGGATAAGCATGTTATTATGATGCCTTAGTGGCAAAGCTCCGGTTGCCTGACTCTACTAGTTATGGCCCTAGAGAAGAACCTTCTGTGGGGCCACTCCCAGGCTCTAGAACTTTGTGGCAAGGGAGGTTAAGATTGCCCTCTCCCTGTTCACTTTCTGCTAGCAGGCAAAAAAAAAAAAACATAGTTAGGCAAGCCTTCTAACCACAGGGCTTTAGCTGATCTGTTGATTTTCTCTTTTTTAAAAAAAGGTAAACTGCTAATAGTATTTTAATTAAGAGGTTTTAAAGAGTCTAAATTGGATTGTATTTTGATAATATAATGAGTACAATTCTATTTTTAATATTACTAACATAGTGTATTTTAATTCAGTTTTTAAAGCTACACTGTAGTCTGCCTTGGGTTCCAATTTGAGAGAAACATAACTATTTCTTCGACCACTTTCAAATCTACTTTTTAAAAATTGTTCTTTTCTCTCTCTTTTTTGCCAGAAAGCAATATTCTTCTCAAAAGCCTGCACAGCTTCTCCCAGCCTTTCTCTCTCGCTAACTATACAGGTCACAGTGAATAACTCCCAGGGCCATATTAACCCATGGCCAGGCCCCTGGGCTTTCAGGTATTTCAGGGCCCCTCTGGCAGAGTGCAAAATGCCATTAACCACTGGAGCCCTAGGGCACTTCAGCAAAAGAAATTGACAGACCCCTAGTCTTTGCAGGCACCATAGGCTTCATCAGCCTAGTCAGCCTTATGAATAATACGGCCTTGATAACTCCTGTTCCCAACTACGAGATTCCTGACATTATTGGGCTACAGAATCCAGAAACTGTGCCCACTGGTTGTGCTGTGTGGGTTTTTGGGAAGCTATCCATAAACATCTGAAGTGCCAAAGTTAGGAACCACATGCGTATTTTAATCATTTTATCTTTTATTGTATTTTAATAGAATTTTAATTGTTGTAAGCCGCCCAGAGACCTTTGGGTAGAGTGGGCAGCGTATAAGTTAAATAAATAAATAAATAAATAAATAAATAAATAAATAAACAAACAAACAAACAAAC